ATAGCGACCCCTCCTTGGGTTTCCGAGGCAGTATCACTACGGAAGTAGGATTGCCCAACCTTCCTTCCGAGGAGTGGCTGGTGGGTTTGAACCGAGAATTAAAAGCTTCTAATTAATCCAGAAGTCTAACCCTAATTTGTAGAATGTTAGACATAAGGTTACATACTTAGATTTTAGCAACTTCTTTTAAAATGCATAGAAAGCCATATACATTATTTAAAATCATTTTCAGGATGCCACTGTATTGATATGTAAGGAACTTAAAAAACACTTCATAAAATATTAATAAGTTCTTCATTCCAAATTGATTTGGTGCTTCAGAAACCCAAACCCATTGCTGTTGAGTCAATTGCAACTCATAGTGACCTTCTAGGACAGGGTAGAACTTCCCCAAAGGGTTCCTAGTACTGTAATCCTTATGGAAGCAGGCTGCCACATCTTTCTCCTGCTGAGTAGCTGTTGTTGTTATGTGCCGTGGAGTCTGACCCAACCTATAGCAACCCCTCCTTGGGTTTCTGAGGTGGTATCACTACAGAAGTAGATTGCCCAACCTTCTTTCCAAGGAGTGGCTGGTAGGTTTGAACCGCCAGCCTTCTGGTTAGGAGTCAGGTGCCTTAGGCACTACACTACCAGCTAGTAGGTTCTAGCCACTGACCTTTTGGTTAGCAGCTGAAAGCTTAACTGCAGTGCCACTACAGCTCCTTGATAAGATGGTAGGAGGGAGCAAAATAATTTAGCCATAATTAGTTACTTGAAGGAAAATGAAAAGTTCTTTTCTGTGGCCAATAATTTTACTTTCAGGTACAGATCAGCCACCAACAATGCATTTTCTCCTTTAAGATTGGAAAATACTGGTTCTGTGTTTGTAACTGAAAATATGAAAAAAAAAAAAAATGTGATTCTGCAGGAGGCTTAGAATGACTGAGTTGTATATGTAGGAAGAAATAGAAGCTTATTTGGCATTTGTATAATTGGATATTTGCTTAATTGTGGGATAATAGTCTCATTTTGCTCAACCTTTATAGTGACGGAAATTCTATAGAATTTGAAAATGAAAATGACCTGCAGCATTGCAAAGGAGAGTTAAACAGTTTTTTTCCTTCGCAGTGACACTTTATCCCTTTAGGAACTATGAGGATATTCAAGTCCCTCCAATAATATCCATAATCTGAGATGCTGAAAGTCTAATATTACAGAACTGCTAATGCTACTTAGCCAGATATGCCCCAGACACAGCACCTTGGTAGCTGCTTATAGAAGGAATGGACATACTTGAAATAATGTATCTGTTAAGCTGCCATTACAAAGTTCCATAGTGATACTGCCTCGGAAACCCAAGGAGGGGTCGCTATGAGTCGGGTTTGACTCGACGGCACATAACAACAACAACAACATTATAAATTTATTTAAAATTTGCATTGTGTTATTTGTGAAAGCTATATTGTTGTTATGTGCCATCAAGTCGGACTCGACTTACAGCATCCCCCTCCTTGGGTTTCTGAGGCAGTATCACTACGGAAGTAGATTGCCCAACCTTCCTTCTGAGGAGTGTCTGGTGGGTTTGAACCGCCAGCCTTCTGGTTAGCAGTCAAGTGCCTTAGGCACTACGCTTCCAGAGCTCGTGAAAGCTATATTAGTCCAGTGAATTAATCAATACACATAAATAGAAGTTAATTAAAAGCAGTAGTTGCAAAACATATATATAAATCTGAATTTAACTTGTGATAACCATTTTAATTCAATTTTTGATTCCAAAGAAAATAATGTAAATAGCTTCCTATGTTATTTTTGATATGAAGTATATTTAATGCTTTTAATATTGTTGTGTAGTTTATTTTCCATGTTATAACTATTGCTGGCCCTATAGGCAATAGGGTTTCAAAGAATGGCAATCCTTTCCCAGAAGGACCTTGTAGTCCAATAAAATAAAATAAAATAATATTTCAAAATGCTACTGATCAAAACTGGTGGGCTTATGATATTATCACCACTTTGGTTAAGGTAAAAATCTACTTTTTCTTCAAAAATTGCCAAAAGGTAGTGGGAAGAGGGCTGTTGCATTGTGGGAAATTGCAGTCAATGTCATGAGACAAAGTGTATGTGAGCTGCTGTATGGAAAAGGAATTTTACTCTGTAAACTTTCACCCAAATCACAATAAAAATTTTAAAAATCACCCAAAAAGTGACTTTAATAAACATATAAATGCTATAGAATTGAAACAGTGGAAGGGGAAATGGAGTAAGGGAAAGGAATGGACATTTATAAAGCTATTAATATTTGCTATGTACCCTACATAATCTTTACTCCTCCTAAAATGCTGTGGAGTAGATCTTATTTTATTCCTGTTTTTCATATGAAGACCCGACAGTGCTGAATGGTACAGTAATTTACTTAAAGGCACCGATGATAATGTTAGTGCCAGAATTTGAATTTGAAAATTCCTCCTACCTCCATATCCATTGCTGTCTTCTTACTTAAAAGCTTAAGTATCTGAAATGAGAAAAATTTAAAAAGATTGAAATTGACAGTCTTTGAAAATAGACATAATTTTTTTGATATGTAATATTTTGGCAAATTATGAATGAAACAACACTAAACATTACTGATTTTCTTTTCTTATATAAAACTCCTATTTTTTAATTTTGACATTGCATAAGTCAATTATTTGCCCTATTTTATATGTTAAAAGAAATGAATGAAAATTTTAATTTCCTCATCATAGATATTTCATTGTTTTCTCAGTTCTTACTCATAAGTCAGTTTTACTTTCTGGTTGATTTATATTTCCTGATTATAGACTCCCAACATGTTGGCAGTATCATGCAATAAAACAAACTCAGGTCAGATTACATTACAGTAAAACTCCTTGTATAATTTATGTGCATTTCTGGTTCTAGGGTTATAGACCATTATTAGTTGAAGACTCCAAGTTTGATGAAATAATCTATTTTTATAAGTTACTGGTTTGAAATTGAATGTAGCAAGATTTGATCACAATTTATTGAGAGGTTCGAGGTTCAGGCTCATTTAAATCTTATTTCTATCTTA